GTCATGTGGCTGTGCCATCGTACCCGGGAAGGAACCTCACGTCTTGCTTCGCCCACCGAAGTCTGACGCTCTCAACCCATTTACATAGCTGCGCCGGCGGCGGAGGCAGCGGTAAGCAGCAGCAGCGGCGCGCCAGGCCACGAGGAGGGAGGATGCGCAGGGGCGGTTGCGGCGGCGGCGAAGGATGAAAGCGGAGAGCGTCCGGTGCGCCGGCAGCGACGTCGCGGGCGAGGACGGAGGTGAGGACGGAGGCGGGGGCGGAAGAGGGTGGTTTCGCCGAAGGCTCACCCCCGCCTCCCCGCCCTCGCCCTGTCCCGTCCTTCCCCGCGCAGTCATTTCCGCACTGAGGAGAAGCGCTGACGGACAGAGGCGGCTCCAGCGGCCCTAATAAGCCGCTACATAATAGATGCTTAATATCTTAGAAGTGATTACACTTGATTAGAGTGGCTCTGCCTCCTAGCCACACCCATCCATAATGCACGCCGAGCGTCACTTCATTGTTTAGATGTTGCCAGCTCATTACATGATGACACCGCTCCGTCCTCGTCGCTCTGCCGCCGGCGCCGTTGCCGTGTCAGGGGTGGGCAACGCGGGGGAGGCAGCGGCGGAGAGGTTTTTTCTGCTTGCCATCTGCTAAGGCGGAGGCGGTGGCGGTAGTGAAGCATATGCTCCAAGTTGCCGCTGAAGCGGAGGAGTCAAATGCAAGATGTTACGAAAAAACAAACATGCTCGAAAGGTTAGAATGTCAACATTCGCTTATGAGTATGTACACATAGGAAGAGTGAAAAAGCTTTGGTAATCAATATTAAAAATAAACCGTAATTCCGTAAAAACTCGGATGATTTTTTAAAATTAAACTAGGGGATGCCCAAAACAGATTTTTTGTAGTAAGTCACTTTTCGATATGAAGTTAAATTCGATGATCCCCGTACAAATTAATGCTTAAATGACATAGAAATTTCGACAATTGTGTTTACTGAAATTGGAAATAATAGGAAATATACTGAATCCGAAATGTTCACTTTGATTCAGCATATGATTTGGATAATAATTATATTTTAGATGTAAATACTCTGTGTATAAATCTTATCGCCCTGAAGTCACGGGAGTTTGGTGGCACAGCGACTTGGTGTCACATGTTACACCAAGACTGTGGGATCCGAGTATCCCGCATAAGGGATAAATGTTTCCAACTGTGTTGTGTCATGGTGTGAATGAACTATGCTTGAACTTTTTTTCAGTTTATTATAATATTTACCCGGTAAAATAATGTTTGTTCAGATTTTACGTGACGTAACTCCGTGACTTCGAGCTATTGCGCTTGGAACCTTCTAATAGGAACCTAGCACTCAATACTTGTAAATGCTGTTTTTAATCGAACTCTTTTCGTAATAACCTCATTAGTGAAACTGTTTAATTCGCTCACGAGCTATTATGTAAAAGATATTTTGCTATCTCAATAATGGCGAAACCAGTGCGTGTACGAGAATTACCTTAAGATTCATTACGAATTATCATGTCCTCTTCACTTGTACGACTTAAGTGTAAATATCTTTATATGCTGAGAAGTTCATTCGTAAGAGAGTATTTAAGGGTGTAACATTTCAAGTACATGGGGCGTAAGTTCGTGACTGCACTTAAGCTGAAAAGATTTTTCTCCCATAAGTGTTTGGCGTAAGTGCCAACTCGAGTAACGCCGGACTATCCGGCCATGTGGAGCCCACGTGCGTCGTTCCTGCCGCCACCATCACTAGCATTCACGTGGATTCACCCAGATGCGATGCGAAAAAACGTGACCAATGAAATCGCAAGAGTAAATTTTTGTTATCGATTTTGAACCAATTTTTATCTTTCACACGGTTTTCTTTAAATGGTTTTTCAGTTCCATAATCCAACTGGGGGCAAGGAATATTTAACGACTTACTACTGCGTGCCGCTTAGTAACATTGAATTTTGATTGGATGTAACACAAGTAAAAAACGTAATTCTGAACTGCTCAACAATATCTTAATAGTTATAAATTAAATATCATGCGTTTTCTCAAATTTAACACACTTTGACAATTAAGAAAACCACGTCATCTGGAAGGTTCACTCATATTAATATTATCAAAACTTTTTTTTTTCTTCCTACTGACACCCCCCCCCCCAAAAAAAATATCTTCACGTCGTTTTTCTCTCATTTTGTTTATTGTGAGCTGATGTTCAAAACAAGAAGTATCCTCACCGCAAGATTCTTCTCTGAGAAGCGTATGTGCGCTACAGCATTTGTAGCATCAAAGAATATGTCTGTATTTCAGTTAACTATAAAAAGTGCTTGAAATTAATTGTCTTTTTGTGACAGGTCTTCTCTTCTATTTAAAAACACAAAAGTTGTAGGAAACTTTCAGTTACTATTGATTAATTACTATAATTGTGTTGTGTGATGAAATTGCCTCCAGATTAATTTCTCCTAATTTACTATCTTAGAACTTCAATTAGTTTCTTGTAGTCATGACAAAGGATTGGGATTCCTTCTCAAATTTTACATTCGTCATCTGGGATTACTATGTCCTTTTGTCTGCAGTAAAATCTTTTGAAAAACGTGATGCATACGTAAAATTATTATTACTTGCGTATGTATCTTCTTAAAAGCTTCTCCTCCCACAGTTTAATTTTAAGAAATGTATTTGTTCAACTCTGATCTAGTATTAAGAAATTATTATATATTTTTTTTAGAATTGTGTAATGCAACATACATAACTTCTAGATATCTTAAACTGTTTTTGTTTGAAGAACTTGAAGCGAATTTTAAATGAGCTGACCATTCCATGAAGTCATGGATTATGATTATGGTTATTATTATTATTATTATTATTATTATTATTATTATTATTATTACTATTATTATTATCGTTATATTATCATTTATTTTGATCTTGACGGTGATGAACCCACCCATGATACCTCAAAAGATCTTCAAACGAAAATTTATATATTTTTTAAAACTATAAACAAAAATAATAATATTTAAACATGTAAGGTCGCTGGTATACGAGTATAAATAGAAGTCACACAGTTATAATCTATCGAAGCAAATACAACCAAATTAATAATATATCATTTAAATTTATGGGATATCAATATACAATATTAACAGTAGTAATAGAAAAGGTTATAGAAAACGTTAAAGGGTATAGAAAGTAAATCCTTCCAAAATTTCCCAGAAATGTCCTGACCAATGAATCCTTGCAACAAAATTGGTGGTTCCTTGAGAGAATCTTGTTTTGTTCGTCCTGCAATGGGGGTCTATGATCAACCTTAAATAGCTCGTTATAATTTGATATAAAGCATTATTATTATTATTATTATTATTATTATTATTATTATTATTATTAATATATTGTTGTTGTTAATGTGGTGAAGTAAAATCAAAAGAAATTGAAAGACTCGCAGAGGATAGAAAAAGGTAGAGAGTACATTGCCCGTAATAACCGCCATTGGATAGAAAGACATGATAATGTTGTTGATAATAACGATTATCTCGAGTAGGTTTCAAGTAAATGGAGCGCATTGTAACCCTAAGACGTCGCCTGCGCTCATACGGAGTAGCAGAAGGGAAGGGAAGGGACTGGTGGGTGGAGGGCGTGGAGCGGAGGGGAAAAGGTGAGCGGGGCGGGGCGTGCTTGGCACGGAAGCCTGCGCCGGGTGGTCGGGCGGGCGGCCTGCAGGAAGCCAATTCATTAAGACGCGCTAAACAGCCTCGTGTGAGATGAAACGCGGATAGGATTACGTGGCGGGCGGACGCCCCCGGCCCGGTGCCGCCCGACCCCCCCCCCTCTTTCCTCTCGCGTAATAACGAAATGCGCCGGCTCGCCTCCTGCCATCAACGCCGCAACGTCTGCTCCCTCGTACACTCCGTAACGCCTTATTTTGTGTCCGAGCGCGAAGCTCGTGTGGCACTCTCATCTGTCTTGATTTGTGAAGTAATCACCACCTCAAAAAGTTTATTATAACAGTATTTATTATTGTTGTGATTAGTATTAATTGACACGCTTCTTTTCTATTTCTACTGTCCGATTCAGTCCACGGCCGCCTATGGCTGTTGACAGAGGTTTCCTAGATCTGTGGGATGGGCCATAAGAGGGTAGTGTAACATCTCGATCTTCTCAACGTAACTTATTATAACTCCAGCCGACTTCAACCCCTCTTAAGAAATAATAACCTTTCCTGAACAGTTCTTTATTACAACAAAGTTCTCGTCTTACGTTTAATATATCGACTCGAAATTACAAGCTAGTTAGCTATGTATTATTAACATCAAAACTTTCTTGCAAAGCAGTGATGCGATGTGTAAGAAAATTGTTTAATTAAAAAAGATATTCCACTGCTCATGGAAACTTAACATCTTACATTCAAACCACTACTTGTTGATTTGGAAACCTTTAGATCCTGTCAACTCGACTTCTTAATGTGATCTGATGGTTTATATGGTCTTCTATCAACAGGACCACGTTTTTAAGCAGAGAACAAACGATTACGTTACTATTGTCATCAAACCATCGCTACGCTCGATGGTAATGGAAACATGATCTTTTCTTTACTTTTTATTTTTCCCGCATACGTATGTACAAGTATACACGTACGTACAAGTATACTTGTATACACGGAGTAATATACGTAGTATAGAGTAATTTATATAATGCTGCGGAAAATCGATTTAGAGATTTCAACGGAATACACGTTTTCGGGTCCTCTGATATTGAAAAAGTGTTTTTTTTAAACGACCGTCCGTCCGTCCGTCCGTCCGTCCATCCGTCTAGTGTGTCTGTACACTACAAAGGGCACTAGGAAAGTTTTGCAATACGACGCAACCGTAAGTCATAGGAGGCTGCTTGGCGCAGGGTGCTGAGACATGTTCATACTTGCACATGTATGTGCAAGCGTACCAGTGCTAGCATACGTGCACTGGCACGCACATAACCTCGCGCGTGGCTTAAACTAGACCAGTGCTTTGAAGAAATGACTTTTGCACTTGGAGATGTTTTTCCACATCGTACTAAAATATTCAGGAGATACAGAGAATTCCGAAGGAGAAATTTCAGTTTGGAGGATGCTGAGAGAGCGGGCAGGCCACGAACATCAGCTACGGAGGAAAACATTGCTGCTGTGAGAAAAATGCTTGACGAAGACAGACGAGTGACCTACGAGCAGATAGAGGATACCTTAGACCTTAATGCACAAGCAATTCGTTCGATTCTGCATGATCATTTGCAAGCGAAGAAACTTTGTTGTCTCTGGGTACCACACACACCGACTGAAGAGCAGATGACACGACGTGTGACTTGGTGCCGGGAGATGCTAAAAAGGTTTTCTAAGGGTCAATCTCGGTATGTAAACAGCATCGTGACAGATGACGAGACTTGGTTGTACTATCATGACGTGCCAAACAAGACTCAAAACAAAGTTTGGTTTCTTGAAGATGAGGAGACACCCATCGCTGTCCAAAAATGGTAGCTGTATTTTTCAAATCCAGTAGAATTGTGGAGCGTGTTTTTTTGGAGACAGAAGGCAGTCACAGCTAAGTGGTACGCTGAACAATGCCTGCCAAAAGTCATTCAATCTTTGAAGAACCTGGACACTTGGTTCAAGAATTCACCACACCATTCAAGAATGGACACTTGGTTCCTCCATCACGACAGCTCCAGCTCACCGCGCCAAAGCCTGCACGGAATATTTGATTACTACAGGACTTAAACTTCTTGAGCACCCTCCTTACAGTCCAGACCTCGCTCCTTGTGACTTTGGGCTGTTACATGTGAAAATGAAGCTGAAAGGAATGCGGTTTTCCAGTGGTGAGGATCTTCTGAGGGCTTGGGACAACGAGTGTGCCTTACTCCCTAGTGAAACTTGGCAGAACTGGTTTAGGGATTGGTTTCGAAGGATGGAAAGGTGCATTGAAAGTGGCGGAAATTGCTTTGAAAAAATTAAATAAATAAAGCTGTATTACAAAACTTTCCTAGTACCCTTTTTGTACTTCACCTAAACCATATGTAGGATTTTTTTCCAAAATGAAGAAACTTGAGTCAACCTGGCTCGAGTCGAATCCTTGAGATTTTGAAAATAATTCTTGATAATTACATGAAGCCCACCGTACTTTACACGAAGCTCTCCGAACATTTTCAAAATTTTCTCAAAACTGGCTTCAAATTTTTTCTTTCAATTCCTTGCAAGAATAGAGTAAAATACACTTATAAAGGTGGCATAAGTCCTATTTTCACGGTTTATTCGAGCTCAATTTTTCCGATGTCTTCCTCAAACAACAAAATTAAAGATAGAGATTTTTCCTTCAAATACAATTTGTTCTCCAAAGTGAGTTCTTTTGTTAAGGTCACACTGTATTTTTGAAAATGTTAGTAGTCTGCGCTCAATATTGCGTGAAATATGTGCAATTTTAAAAAAACTACCAAAACAAGATTTTCTCAAAAACCTATCAAAAGTTTTTCTTTAAACTTTTGGTAGAGATAGAGCTAAATGTACTCTATAAGATGACAAAAGTTTTATTGCTCTATTCCATTGTTTTTCAAAAATCACAAAAATTTAATTTTTTGACTTTTCTCTCATGTTGTTCATATTTATATTAGAAGCAATTTGTTCACATTATTGTATTTATGAGTACATGTGCTTTAAATAATGTCGTAGAAAGTTTCTCAAAAACTACTGACTTTTGTTAAAACTAGTTCAAAATTCCACATTTTCAGAAACGCTCAAATGCCATTTTCTCAAAAACGGCTCCAATTTTTTTTTCAAATATTTCGAATGCATATTGCTAATTTCACTCTTTAATATGATGTGAAGTTCATTTCGGTGAATTTTTTGTGTTTTCAAAAATTACACAAATGTAAATTTTTTGAAGATCTCTCACGCCGTGCGTATGCATATTTCCAACTATTTGTAAACACTATTTCGTTTATGTATGTTTCGTTAAAGTACTTAAAATGACTTCAATTTTCGAATTTACAGTAGCTCTTAAACGCCAGTTTTTGAAAAAGGCTCCAAATTTTGCGAAGGAAATTGCCATTTAGGACGAGATTTCACTGTCCTTTAATAAACTTAAAATAACATTTCCTCCTGTGAAAATGCTGAATTTTCAGCTCATTTTCACAGAAAACGTTCGAATTTTCGAGAAATTTTATAAGACATCATTTGAAGCATATGTACTCATAAATACATTAAGGTATACAAATCGCCGCTAATGTAAATATTAACGAAAGGATAAGTATGTAAAAAAATTACAATTGTGTAATTTTGGGAAAAAAAGAATAGAGAAAATGGAGTTTATGTCATTTGTTATTTTTTGTAATTTCAACACTAACCCAACTAAACGTATAAAGAAAAAATTCGAACCCTGTTTGAGAATTTTTTTCTTTGTTTTATTTCACATATTTCTCACAACATTGCCCGAAAACTACTAAAATTTTCAAAAACTGTGCAATACGTTATTATAAAAACCAATTGTGAAGATCAATTTTCATTTAAAGAAAAAATATCTATCTTCAATATTGTAGTTGTAAGAAATAGTACGCCGAAAATAATTTAAACTATTTTAAGTTTAAAAATTCAGAGTAAAGAGTAAAAATCGTGTTCATGCCATATTTATAAGTACATTTCACTCCATTCTTACACGAAAATTTAAAAATAATTAACTATTTGAAAAAATGTTAAATATGTCCCAGGTGCTTCATGCAAAGTATCTCCAAAATTTAAATCATGTTTTTCAATATCGCAGACGTTCAAGTCTGGCCGGATCTACTGTGAAATATTAATTTTCGAAAATTTCGTCGAATGCTTTAGGGGCTAGAGTTGTTTACAGACGGACAGACAGATAGACGGAGGTTTGCCGTTAATCAATTTTTTTATGTCAAGAACCACAAATTGTAGATTGACTACAGATCGTCATAACCGTGTTAGAGCAAGTAATTTACTACACATTGGAACAAGATTTATACCTTTTTCTTGCAGCAAGGTTCCAAAATAAGTCTCCGCATCTTGCCGTAGCATTACATAACTTACTATATTAGTCCATATATACGTAAGTGCACAGAAAGTGTGAATGGAAAAGCCTCATGGATGTATTTCTATATTCACTACTTGTAATAAATTCACTGAGTATGTATGGAGTTTTGTTTTCTCATACGAGACATTGTCAATCCTGTTTTCAAACCGAGTGATATCAAATTACTGCACTTGCCAGGTGTCGTATTCTCAAATATTTTAAATATATTTCACTCGGATTTATCCAAATGATTCGAATAATCAAAATTTTACCTGTATCGTAATATTTACGTGACATGTTTACAAGTCATACGTAAACAACAAATTAAAACCATGTGTTAATCTAATAGTAATGCTCATAGATAAAATACCATAAAAGAATATATCAAATGATTGTAAAGTATTTAAAACAATAATTGACTTCATGTTTTATGACATTCGCCCAGCCGGACAATGTTTCTCTTACCCTGTTAGAAAATGATAAAGGAGTCCAACATTTTAAATATTTTATGTGAGAGTAATAAAGTTTCATTCGACTCCAAATGACAACCAACGTCATAAAAAATACACAGGTAGCTTTATGTGTACCACCAAATAAATAAACATGGATTAGAAATAAAAGGGATAAATAAAAAGTTTCTAAAATATTGTTGTAGATGAGCTGCGTTAATGGTTTCAGAATTATGGAATCGTAAAGGGCGTAATGGCGTGCAAATGCGTATCATTACCCATAAATCGCAGCTGCCAGCGTGGAACGACAAGTGGCGTTAACGTCCAGAGCGGCGCCCGCCCGCTCGCGCGTTGCGCGCTGCACGGCCCATCGCGCAAAACCTATCGCGCGTCGCGTCGCCTCGCGAGCGGAGAAAGCGCAGGGCGGCCGCGCCCCGCGTCGTTTATCGCCCCCCAGAGGCGCCCGCGCCCGCGCCCGCACCACCACGCCCACGCTGATGCATCGCCCGCGGCCGCCGCGCCTTGCTCAATTCGTCACCACCTGGCGCCGGGCGTCCAACGCCCACGCCCCACCGGCAACCACCCCACCCACCGCACAACGCCCACAGCCCACCATCATCCGCCCACGGATACGCCGTTCACCGCCCACGGCTAACCAATCGGGGGCCTCCACCCACCGCTCGCTGACCATCGCCTAGCGCCCACAGTCCACCGCCCCTCCTCCTCACCTACTACCAACCGCTCACCACCACCCAACCCTCCCCTTTTGCTCTTCATCCACCGTTCACGGCCCCCCTACCGTCTACTACCAACCGCCCACCACCCTCCTTCCGCTCGCCATCCACCGCCCACCGCCCACTCCCTGTCTACTACAAACCGCTCACCATCCCTAACTGTCCACCGCCACGACCCAATGCCTACCGCCCACCACCCACGATCCACAGCCTACCGCCCGCCACCCACTACTATCCCACCAACGTCCACTGCCTACTGCCCACCCGCTACCGCCTACTGCCACATATCGCCAGTGCCCATTGCCCGCCTTTCGCCACATGCCCATCGTTCATTGTCTACTAACAACAATATACCGCGCGCAGCTTTGATTGCCGTCCAATGCTCACCTCTAGTAGTGTCAAACACAGATCCCCACCCCACCATTCGACGACCAGCCTCCGCTATACCAGTCAGCACTTCGCTATCCCCAGCCTCTCCCCCCCCGCATAATCTCCTTCGGTTCCATCCACGTCCGCCATCATCCATCTCTCCCTACTCTCTACTATTAGTGGAAGAAATCACCGACCATCATCCACCATGCATTACCTTCGGCTATCTCCCAGCATGCACCTCCAATTGTGCCTCCTACCATTTGTTACCCTCCAACCATTGCCCAAATTCTAGAGACATGTCTTCCACAATCTGTTCCCATTATTTATCTCTCGTCATACACAGTTTATCTAACATTGCCACATTTCACTTTCACCGTGCGTCCTTTATCGATCATTCTTCCTGCAATAGCTATTAACACAGACTGAAACAAGATTTCTCAAGTTCGTTCTACCCAGTTACCAATGATTTCCTTTCCCATTACTCCGAATGATATGTTCACAGTATATTTTTTCACTGCCATTCCATTCTCCTCATTGCATTCATCATTTTTCCATAAAAATTTTGGCATTGCCATTTGGCCATGTAAATTCTTCGTGGCCATAGTCATGCAGAGTTAGTTCCAGTTCGTCTCTTGCATCACATGACCACGATAATAGGACGTACCCAATAGTCTTTCCTTTTCAAAACTCATCTTTTTGTGTGTTCTGCTTGTTCTATCATCTCTTTTTTTGCATACTATTCTACAATTTTTGTTTTTGCTTTTATTTCACTTTCAGACATTGTAATTCTACATATTAATCCAAAGCTCTCCGTTGCTTGCGATCACTTGTCTTGACAACAATTTCTACTCGTTTCTATTTATTGTATATCACAAACCTTCATCCCTAAATTATTTACCTCTGTTT